ATATATGTCCCTTGTCAAAAGGCCGAGCTAGGTTAGGTAGCTTTTCTTGTAAGTTGTGAATTAGATAGCTTGCAGAAGAGAAAGATTTAAAGGCAGCATCCAGGCTAAATCTGACCCCTTGGATTAGTACCGATCCTGAGAGTAGACTCCAAGAGAAGGGCATCTGCGTTGGTTCAGTCCTCTAATGTTGTCTCTAAATGGTGATAATGGGCCTGGAACAGGGCCCGACACGCGTTGGTTTGAAGCATTTTTGAAAACGAAGTCCCCTATGAGTTCGCGATTACGAAGCCCTTTTTGACGTAAAAGTCAGTAGGGAAACCCTTGTTCAATCAACATAACAAAACACAACGATAAAAAAGCGAAAAAAGCGAGTTTTGAGGTACCTAATATAAGAAAAAAGCAAAAAACATCCGAGTTGATTCAATCCTTGAGTATGGTACCATTTTAGTGCTCAGAATGTCGAAAACCTCCTAGGCCAATCAAATCTGTGGCCTCAACAATCTTACGATGCATTTTTCGCCACATAGTCAAAGGACAACGCATGTGATTGGGGCGCGATATCTATCAAGGCTTTGGTTTACACTATTGGCCTAAAAAAGAGGAGAAGCAGTGGTTTGATTCGCTCTCTTCGCTATATGATAGATTGAAGCGTTGGAGCGTTCTCCTCGTCCAAATCAAAAAGGTTAAAACTTATGTGAACTCTCCGATATTTGTGCTCCGAACCAACCCAGTTGGTTTGGTGTTGGTGTAGGAACCAACAAATTCGGGAACGGGTATTAGCACACATTGCTAAGTTTTTGAAACTTTTTACATAATGTTGTTTGGAGTATTATTTACATACATAGCCCTTCGGCGTCATATGATTGTTTGTGCGCTTCAAACAAGCAATCTGTTTGTTTGGGTCTAGGTCTTACGTTTGAAATTCGCGCGCTTGCCAAAGAACACGGTCAACTCGTGAAATCTAACATGTTTGTCGTTTTTTTCAGGTGCTTCGCCCAGGACCTTATAAAAACGATATCCCCGTTGCTTCTAACAAAAACGAAGTCCAGTTTGACTCCCAACCATCTGAGCCGGACCCTGGTCTGGAACAACCAACGTGTCGCCCCGCCCAGATTCTATCAAGCTCCGCCCACCCACTTGCTGAAAGCTGGCCGTCCGCCCCATCGAAACGGTGTCCAGGAATCGGCGGTTTTTGGGGCTCTGGAGAATTTGATTCACAGCTGTAATCAGGGTCGCAGAAGGCCCGACAGTGTTCAAAAACATGGGAAGCGATTTTTTAAGTGGAGCCAAAAGAATAATTTGCCCTCAATTCAATGGAAAATTTGGCAGATGCTTTTGTTCCAAAATGAAAGGCAAGATACAAGCAAATCGGAGTCTTCTGATCTCACGCTTACAACGGCCGCTAAGCGATGCCCACCTCAGATGCACAAACACTTTACAAGAGTAGAGATTGCTTCGCAGCTGGATCCTGAGCAAATTAAGTCGCGCTCAAAGCGGAGAATTAGTTTTACACGCACATCATTACTTCCGGAATGGCTTTGCAAGTGCCTACGATGCTAGATCTTCCAGGGTTTGCAAATTGTAGTACCAACCATAAATACAACAAGGACAAACGCACTAGAAGAATTACTCTGACCGCTTCAGTATTAACACTCACCTTGCAGGGGTCACAATAGCACCGACTTCGTAACTTCGACCCTTTTCGTTGATATATGTCTATAAAGTACGAACGACTACCATTAACTGCGATAAGTGCGCAGTCTTTAGCAGCTCTACACTTATCCGAGAAGTCAAAGTAATTATTGGCTCTGTCGTCCAGACAATGCAAACCATAACGAAATTGACTAACTAACAAATTTGAGAATTAGCCTCTTTTCATCGTCCCTTTATTCGGAGAAGCGCATGAATTTCAGCAAGTGCTCGTGTTTCTGACATTTGTCGCTGAATTTCATCTCATTTCACATCTGTGAATTTCATCTTCTATCATCACCCCCCCCACTATGGTCCGTTGTCTCATCGGGGAGGGGGGGGGGAGGGCTGGGCGTCAAATTGCAAGGCACAGCCGAGCATACAGGGCTTATCAGCTGCAGTGTCGGGTGCACCAGCTCTCCGCTCCCGCGCGGCCGCCTCGCCTTTTCCTTGTGCAGCTTTAGCGAAGATGCTCTCTGATCGCTTTTCAACCGCGAGCGTGGAAAAGGCGAAGCTCAGTCAACTGCAATGCTTCAAGGGCATACTCGCGAAAGAGGTACAGAGAGCCCCGCGCGGGAATGGAGATGCTGGTGCACCCGACTCTGGAAATGATAAGCCCCATATGCTCTGTAGGGTATACCCTAAGCTAAAGAGTTTGGCATTTTCGGTCTGGGTCGGATGCCCAGCAAAGAGCGGAAGGGGCCGATCCCGACCGTCTGGCTTTCTGGTCGCTAGACGATCCCCGCTCCACACCCGGAGTTAGCGATCGTTCCATGGAAAACAAGAGTACTCCTAGTAAGTCTGCTCTTGTAGGGGAAAAATCTTATCACTCCCCAGCTAGGAGAGAGAGAGAGAGAGAGAAACCCTGAACATCGGATCTCGCTTGAGGCGCTGTTTAGTAGCAAGAACGATGTCAGGGTCCTCAGCGCATCTTTTGGATCGGACAAAAACGACACGTCCGCGCGGACGACATGCCATGGAGACTGCCTCATGCTCTGCATCTACAGTGCCATGACAGCCTCCATGAATGCCGACCTCCACGCTCTTGTCCTGCAGAGCACATCAAGTAATATCTGCTGCATGACGAAGGCGGTCGCCCAAATAAGTTGAAGGCTGTCGCGCACGCGGCGCACGGGCAATTGTCAACCACCCGGCGCGCGCACACTCGGTCAGCGGTCATCCACTGGAGAGTGCGCGCGAAGTGATGCCTCATCATTCGTGACGAAAAGCTTCCATCACAAAACGTTATCTTTGTCATCCACGCATCTCTCATTTCCATACAACGATTCGCATGTGATCCAAGCACCTCGACTAGCCCATCTTACGACTACGTCTCCACGTTAGGAGACCATCAGCATCATGAAATGCTACTCTCCACATCAGCAGCTGACGAATCAGAACTAAACGCTTTCTACGAAGACGAGGACAAGTTCGTCTGTAACGAAAGTCTTTACAGTTTGTTATGGGCGAGTTCAATGCGAAAATAAGTATGTCACGGAAGAGGAATATAGGATTGAGAGGTTTTTATATGGGCTTCAAAACGAAAACGGCAACCTCTTGTTGGGCTTCTTTCTGACGCAGGATTTTTCCATGGCAATTTTCTCATGAAGAGAGAACATCGCCGGTGGACATATTAATTATCTCACGGAACGACTCAATCGGAAATCGATCCATTTACTAACCGAAGTGAAGCTTGCTTGATGTCTCAGCAGTTCTATCCTTTTGCAGTGACTCTGATAACATCCTCCTTGGAGCAAATGTACGATTCATAAAGGTTTAAAAGAAGGACTGCCACGGTGCCGCAAAAAAGATTAAAGTCGTTTATGACGACAACAGGCTCTGGGAGCTCCTTTCAAGTTGTGACTGGCCCATCGAGGAGGACCCAACGTACAACTACGACCGACTTTGAGGGGATCGCGAGTCTGTAGAGGGTGCGCCTTAGTGACATCCGAGAAGAATTTGGAAGTCATTTGGAAGAAAAGATCCGAGAGGCAAGATCTGAGTGCAATTCATATCGGGGACTGACAGTCGTAGAACAGCCACATCAGTTGCAGAGCAGCTTTGCAGGAGGATCTCAGGATGTACAGGTAAGCCAATATATTGGAAGCACCCGAAGGTACGAAGTTTAAGAAGTGCCGAAGAGACCTCTGTGAGTCATACCGCTGGCTGCACCATTAAAAGAGCATTCCAACTTCTTCCTGATATAAGATGGAATCTATCGCGAAGAATTTTCACACCAATCTTCCACTCATCAATACCTGTGCCTATGCCCGTTGTTCCCACGAAAAGCACCATGGATGCTACCTGCTTCGCCGCGATTCAGACCACGAAGATGTCCACGGCTCCAGGACTACACCAACCTTCCTTTAACTTCTGTAAAACGGAGGAAATCGTCCACATGAGATTCTCGTGTCGCATCTAACATCTTACCTTCAGAAAGAAAGGATTTCCGACCAGTGAAGAACTTCAACAACCGTATTTCTCTGCAAGAAGGGCGATAGGGAGCATGTTCAGGACTACCGTCTAATATGCCTGCTAAGTGTGTTGTACAAGCTTTTTACGAAGATTTTCCTCCCTTGCATATTTAGGACACTGGATAAAGCTCAGCCCAATAACAAGCTGGATTTCGCAAAGAATTCAACTGCATAGACCACATCAAGACGGTTTCGAGGATCATAGAAGTCTGCCGGGTATACCAATTGCCTCTCGTCGCGCATTGCAACTTGTTAGCTCACTTTCTCAGAGCAGCTTTGGAAGTTATCCTGGTACTACGTCGCTTCTTCAGCTTTTCAAAAAGCTGTTGGGCCTCAACATTCCAGTTTACCGCTAAGAATAAAGTCACGGCATAACCAGAGCAGAGTGCAGAGTAGCTGAAGCAAAAACATCACTTGAAAAAGCTCTCATAACCTGTTAGATTCACTCAAACCTTCTGTTAATATCTACAAGTCGTTCTCCATGTTCGTGGAATGTTCACGATAAACTTAAGAAGACGTTTCCATGATGAGAGTGACTTCCCTCGTTTTCATATTTCGTGAAAGGGCGTTTCTCATGGACAGAGTCTTCTTCCAATTTGTTTGCAGTCCAATTATTCCTTCGACAGTCTTCGTCTCTGCTTTGAAGATACTGCTGGAAAAGAAAACGATCCTCTTCAAACGAAGTAATCGAGTAATTGTCGGTAGGTAGAGGAGTACGAGGCTGCAAGAAGCAACAAGGAATCATCAACTTTTTCACACGAATGAACTTGAAATCTTGGTTAATGAAAATTATGTTTACAGTGGAAGTCGTATAAGATCCTCTTATCTGTCGAACTGATGTTTGCACCACTTTTAAAAATCTTCGCACTCAAGAAGGTAGCCCTGAGTGAGTGCACTTTCTCTACAGAGTTTACTAGCTCACGAAGGTGCCAGGTCTGCGAACGCAGCTCTTTTACCCATGAGGCTTATGATGCGCAGGGTTCAGAACGATGTAGCTGTCCGCGCCGCCTCTCGCCTGCTTAACCAATGTGCTACTGCACCTTCGTTCGGCAGTGGAACTTACTATTTAGCGCCTCACTAGCCTGCGTTGTCCTACCAACTTACAGCCTGTCAAACGGAACAACCTACAGTCTGTCAAACAATGCATTTCGTATGGAGCAACACCTCCGCTTCACTGAAGGCTTTGTGAGCGCATAGCGCTGGAATTTGACCACTTGAAGATCACAGAAAATGAGAACGCAGATATGGTTCTTACAAGGGAAGGATACTCGGTCGAAGTGGCCATTTGGAATGAGCTGTATATTAGGAAACCGTCCTCCGTAAGGCAAGCTCAAAACTACTTTCGCTAGGTGCCGAGCGGTTTTGTGGGGGGAGTTACAAGGCCATTTTCCTCCGGCGCAGCTGGTGCACCCAGTGATGGGCGAGGCGCTAGAACAACGCAGCAGTGTGGCAGTGGCGCAGTGGCAACGCAGTGGACTACGAAGCAGATGGTCGAGGGTTCGAATCCTGTTGCTGCTACTTTATTTTGCAGTTCTGTAAAAAGTCTATTGGGTGACAGTAAACGAGAAATACTATTTCTAGGCAGTCGAAACAAGCTAATTACTGCAAAAAAGCCACTATTTCTGCAATAAGCTATAATCTTCTAAAATATGTAAATCTGTGGAGGTTATGATGTCACAACAAGGGATTCAAGTGATATATTAACATGTATGGAATACAACCACAAAATGCTCAAAGTAGAAGAGCTTCTCGCAGCGCGCACATCGGATAAAATAAAACGATGACAATCAGCAGCTTCACAATTGCCTATCAAAGTCGGTGAAAAACAGTACTGAATAGGAGACTCGAATTCGCCGGGGTGGTTGTCAATGTATCCGGCTGCATCCATGGGTATGAAAGCAAATTTTTGAATCGCGGCGAGCAAAATTGTGTGTAAATGAGCGATAAGATCTTAAGGATGGAATCCCTATATTGCAAGGTAAAGTTCAGATCAAGAGCCAATAAATGGGATGTGAATCGATTGCAATTTTGCAAGTGCGCGCTGCGAGAAGCTCTTCTACTTTGAGCATTTTGTGGTTGTATTCCATACATGTTAATATATCACTTGAATCCCTTGTTGTGACATCATAACCTCCACAGATTTACATATTTTAGAAGATTATAGCTTATTGCAGAAATAGTGGCTTTTCTGCAGTAACTAGCTTGTTTCGACTGCCTAGAAATAGTATTTCTCGTTTACTGTCACCCAATAGACTTTTTACAGAACTGCAAAACAAAATAGCAGCAACAGGACTCGAACCCTCGACCATCTGCTTCGTAGTCCACTGCGTTGCCACTGCGCCACTGCCACACTGCTGCATTGTTCTAGCGCCTCGCCCATCACTGGGTGCACCAGCTGCGCCGGAGGAAAATGGCCTTGTAACTCCCCCCACAAAACCGCTCGGCACCTAGCGAAAGTAGTTTTGAGTTTGCCTTACGGAGTACAGTTTCCTAATATACAGCTCATTCCAAATGGCCACTTCGACCAAGTATCCTTCCCTTGTTAGCGAGATAGACATACCAGTTGCGAAACCGTTGCGTGGCGAACCCACCATTCCAATTCCGCCCTAACTGGTTCAAAAAACTTGTGCGAATCATATCCTGTTTTCGCATCGAGCGCAACATCCTTGCTGTGTTGATGAATCAAAAAAGCTCAATTGCGCGTAACTGTGCTGGCTACCACTCTTATGGTGAAGTCCCAAATGTGTTGCCTCACAACTGTTATGGTGGTCCGATAGTGGAATTTAGTGGCCCCTTTTGTGCCTCTATAGACATGCTAGCTTCAGAAGCTTTATTAATACATCAACGTCTCTCACGCAGGCAGTGGTATACATATATACCGCTCATAATTCGTCAAAAAGTCGCCGCACTCCAGCGGAGTGTACCACAGCGCGCTGCCGTGCGCGGAAGTACAGCAGAGTGTGCCAGAGAGCAGAGGAATGCGCCGCACTTCACTGGACTGCGCCCGAGTCCGCGTCGCATCGCCATATCTCGCTACAGAATAGACGCATTCTATTCCAAGGACCGTTCGATTCAGCTCGGCGAGACGCACCACCTGGTGTATAGAAGTGCTACAATGTCGGGATACAGTAGGTATACGGTAAACAGTGGATCGCTCGATTTTGCAGATTTTTGTTTGGTTTGGATTGTCCAGTGTGCTGATAACAATATTGTCATTGATTTGCTGCTCATGGCACATTGTAACGATACTGTAGGAGTATGGAAGAATCACTCTGATGGATTTGTTTTAAAATCAGTTCAAGGTATACTACAGCTCAATGTGCAAAATTTCCGTGAACGGCGCGGAAATCCGGGAATTTTCCCGGAATTCCGCGACAATTCCAGAAGTTCCGCGGAAGCACGGGAATCACTCAAACAACGCAGCATTATAACTTCCTTAGCTATAAATAAAAATTGCTTTATGCTGAATCCGGAAACAGCAGTGTGTTAAGCTCGTCAAGGCAAATCTTTCGATATACAACGTGCCTTCGATATTCCGTCTCCATTTTCCTCTGCGGGGATCCTTTCGCATAGATGTAATGCAGCGCTTATCCAACATAGAAGATTCCAATAAGTACAATTCGATGGTACTGTTCTTTTGGGTTATCGTGCTAAGCAGTAGCTGCAGACTTCTTTCCAAAAAAGATAAAAGCGTTAGATGAATTTTTTATGAGCAGGTTTTCAGAGAATTTCGGGTTACTTGATTTTTTTTCGTCTCACATTCTGAAGCTCGCCAGTGGGTCTTGGTCGAAATGTTGATGGTCTTGGTTTGAAAGAAAACTCCGCTTGAGTTTTCGATCACGCTATTTATGAAAATCGTGATCTCTGTCAGGTACAGAGTCTTTATGCAGAGATACGCTGAGGTAACTGTAATCGGAATACGTCTATTCTGAAGTGAGATATGGCGATGCGACGCGGATTCAGGCGCAGTCCAGTGGAGTGCGGCGCACACCGCTGCTCTCCGGCACACTAGCGCACTCCGGAGCACTGCAGAGCGCTGTGGTAGATCCGTTGGAGTGCGGCGACTTTTCTGACGAACTATGAGCGGTATTGTACATCGTCAACATGCTCGGAGCAACGCTGTTGCGTCCTAAGGATAGTTCATGACCAGAAGAGATGCAGAACAAGCGGCCAGGGTGTATGAGAAGGAGTGACGCGCAGTACTGACCATGTGCACTACACTTTGCACCGCGTCTTTGCACTGCACCGAGTCATTACTCGATGATTCCATTATTCGAAGGAATCATTTAATTGCGAATGATTCAAAATTGGATTTTTTTAAAATCCGAGATTTCGAATATTATACGATAGCCGATTATTCGATGTTCATCGAGCTTAGAAGATTTTTGATGCACCGGATATAAAGTTCGGAGCATTGAATGTTCGAAAATTCGAATCCATAGCATTTATGGAGTGTCTCAAAAGCATCTACATTGCTTAATCGCTAATATTTCTCTTACGAAGTCTTTTACCAGCCTTTGGGTAACATTATGTACTGCTGGATTCAGCTCACACTTAGAAAGAGGATCAACTGTGTTTTCCATTATCATGGGATAACAGCGGGGACTTCCAGCACATAAACCGGGAAAAGACGTTCAAAAGAACTCCTCCAAAATCCTTAAGAATTTATGTAGCAGGCTTTTTTGCATGCTGCTTTTGCTACGAGCTTTTCACGACTTTTTCAAGCTTTGCAGATGTGTAATCACGTTCATGAGAAGCATTGAAAAACATTGTTACTGTGTACTTGACAACTTGTGAAAAAAGCATAACGATTGAATGCAATTTTACATCTAAAGTGGATGACTGTAAAACTCTTAATGTAAGATTTTTTACTTTCCCGTTTCTTTAGGCAAAACACGGTTTGTAATCACGGTGTCTTCAAACTCTCTTCAAGTTTCTTACCCCAAACCTACAACAGTGAAGAGCGATAGATGAGTTGCTCCAATTCGATTTAAGTTGGACTCAGTACTTCAGGTGGTACATAAAATTCGGCAAAAATTTTTGCCGAGGAGAATTAACGATTGAATAGACATACTTCCGGGACAGATCAACCGGTAACAGCAGGTTGAGACCAAGTTGCTAGATCTGAAAGAATGGTGGACAGTCGTTGGTATCAGTCATTGAATTGTTGACAGGGCAATGTCCCGATCTGGTCATCTGTACTCTTTTGATTCGCTAACAGGTTGGACAATTTGCTTAATCGTGATGAAGTTGCTGATTTATCAATTTACATGGCCACGATTTTTTCACACCCCGAAGAAGGCGATATAGCCGAAACGTCGGTTAAATAAAGAGATATATCAATCTTGTGCAAGCTGAACAAATCAGTAAAAGAAGATATCGTTTTTCCGGGGTCCGGGGAGGAGGCAGCCGCAAGAATGCCGCCGGCACGCCACTAGCGTGCCGCACATCAAAGAAACAAAGGCGTTGTTTTCAGCTAAAACGCAATAGTATGACACCACATTTGGTGTGCGCATGCGCTTGGGGGAACCCGAACTATGGCCCAAGAATTTATGAAAAATTATGTGATTAAAAGTTGTGCTGAACTTTTTTCTGAATTAGCTGGCACCGTAACAACTAGGTGCAGGCTGAGCTAGCACCGACACTTTACTCACATAAGTTTTCATACTTTTTTACATAATGTATCTACACTGTACAAGTTTACATACAGAGAAAAAACGATCTAATGTTTCCTTTTCGGCGTTTTATAGGCATCTAAAAATTTCTTGGTCTGCTCCGCTGTCTGAAAAATCTGTTTTTTCACTGCTTCTCATGTGTGATCCAACCACTCGAAAAGCTCAGAAAACTTGTGTAAATTTATATTATGAAATCAGCATGCGTGAAAACCATATTACATACCGGTACAGAATCTAAATAATAATGACGGGCCTTTGAAACAGATTGAAGAACTGCGTTCGGAATTTCCAAGATCAAAGGAAAATTCGTTTTGAAATTTCCCTGGTGCCAGCTCGTGCGGAGCTCTGGCTCAGAGACAGAGCTTGAGAAGTGAATGTTGTGTTGTGCTAATGCTTGATTCGCTGCTGCACAAGAATGAAGAAAAATGCTATTTGCACCTTTGCACTCTTTACCCATCTTTTGGAGGCTTACTACCTTAGTGCTTTGCCTTAAAGAATGACACCACATTCTCACCCACGGAAAGAGTGGCCTCAATGTTGATGTGACCGAATCCGACCGATCACTGCATTAAAACATTTCAAGCAGTCTTGGTTGAACGATGTGAATAGAATTTCAACTATAAACGGTTTGAATATCAAGTCGAACTTGTTCATGAGCACTAATTGTCTCCTCGCATATTCTTCTAGACAGGAAGAGTGATTAGTAAGAAGAGAGTGTAAGCGTGTTCTACATACTTGAAGCAGAGTTCATCTACAAGTTCATTAACTGTCGAGTAGCGTTCAATGTTGCAATTAGATAGTACAAACAATTAGGTATACGCAAACTTAGCAGGCGTTCAAAACTAGACTTATTAGCACTCCCAGAAAGTGCTCTCGCAACCATTGCAGATATTGAATGACAACGGGTATTAGGTGGAAATTCTGTTGGAAAACTACAAAACAACATCTATTTTTCATTTCCTCAACAGAAATGGTTTTGATTTTGTTTCGACAGATGTTTGCTCGATGACGTCGAGCTTCAGTGTGGAAAGCACAGAAGCTCTAAATGTGAGCGTGACAACATCTCCTAAGGCTTCACAGACCCAGTAAGGACCGTGTTCACTCAATTTCAGATCTACAAATCTGATTTCAGAAAACCGGGCACACTTCTCGAGAAAATGAATTTAAGTTTTGAAATGCTTGTAGTAATTGCAGCTGGTATTGTAGTTATAGTAGTCCTCGTGCTTATATGTAACTGCATGATAGTACGGAGAAAACGAAAACAAAAGTTGAAACTCATGGAAGAAATGGAAAGAGAAGATGAGGAAAGAAGGAAGAAGAAGAAGAAGAAACGGAAACGAAAGGTAGGGAGAAGCTTAGGAAAAGATTACATTGCACGGTGTATCCGCGTGATTTTGTAGAGGTTGTCGAGAGGTGTCAAACCAGTAATACCACTGAAACCAAGCCAAGAGGTAAGGTTCTTGAAACGGGGAAGGACTTCTTTGATGCATTAGGAACAGTTAGTTCTGCCAGAAATTTTTATTGCTTTGCCTTACGATAGATCACTAACGTTGGTACAGAACGAAGGTATATTCAGCTAAAGAAAGCATTGAATGAATTTCTGGAATTGCAAACACAAACTCTTGGCTCCGTGATGGACGAGGACGAGGGAGCGTCGAAAAAAGGAAGTCAAGGAGCAAGCGCTAGCAGAAAGAAAGCTGCTGGTTCACGCGATAGAGAAGAAGACACTGAGAAAAAGGAGACTTCCAGAGAGGCGGAGAACAGTAGAGCGTAATGACAGCTAATTTAGTTCATGTTTAAGCAGCATTACTTTCACAAGGAATGAGACCAATCATATGACTTCATTATTGTAATAAAATATTCGAGAGCTATTTATGTTGCACTACTAGAAGTTAGACCGGAAGGACAGCGCTTGCAGATTTCGAATAATTGTCATGAATAATTATGGCGCTAGCACTGTCTGTACTCTTCCGAGAGTAGTTCCTCTCCCTGATAATGATAGTGATCTATGAGATTCCTATAAGTATAAGGAACTCAGTTAAACGCGCAGATTTTTGAACTATAATTGACCAGAGACTCTTCTCAAAGAAAGTTCTGATGAATATCTGCCTCACATATTTGCTCTTTTGCATGGGTATATGCGGAATCAGCTTTTTGCGACCAAAAAAGGAGAGTTCACACTCGGCTTGTTCGAGCAGAATCTTAACAGTGTGAAGAGTTAAAGGCAGTATCCAGGCAAATCTGGGCGAATGCGCGTTCGCGTGGAAACTTTTGAGGGGGTTAAGCGTTGCTGAAGTTGCAGCGCAAATGATTTACTCACGATTGAAAAATCCATCTCCAAATGTCTCAGGCCTGCGCCGTAACCTAATTCGCGAGTGAGTAGGGCGAGTCCTAGCGCGCATTGTGCTAATCGAAGCAGAGTCAATTGCGGTACGGTCACGGCGCAAGGCTTGAGGGTTTTGAAGGTGGATTTCTCAGCCGTGAATGGATACTTTATGCTGCCACCTGGGCACGGCCTAAGTTAGGACCTCTTCAACAGTTTTCACACGAAAAACCTAAGTGCCCAAATCTGCCTGGACACTGCTTTCAAAGGCACCGTCCACCCAAAATGGGTCGATGAGATTTTGATGCCTAACAGTAATGGGGCCCCTATGTAGCTGTATGCTTATCCAACTCGCGCTGGCAAAAGTTGCTTCCGAAGCGAGAAAATTGCTTCGAAAATCGCTCGGATGACAGATTCTCCACGTTGGCTCCTCCCCTTTGAGTGGGCGTGACGTTCGTCCCGTCCATCTGTGCGCTCCCAACCAATCACCGTTCCGAAGAAATCGCTCTGCGGGTTCTGAAAACGGGGGTTTTCATGGTTTTTGCGGATTTCCGACTTGATATTCGAAATCAGTGGTATGAGAAGGCCCTGGAAAGGCGAAAACATGGAGGTCGAAATTTTGAGTGAACGGGGCTTTTAAGACTGAATCTGGGCCGGCAGCAATCCCCTCGACCTGGCGGCAGGTCTCTCGGCGGGTCACCGACACTTTGCCGCAAGGTCGCCAATAGCTATTTCATTTAGACCGCCCAAAGCTTTTTTACGAGAAGCTTACCTTATGAAGATGCCATCGCGACTTTGAAAAAACTTAAACTGAGATTTGAGATCTCCGGAATCCCCCCTACAGAAAGATATCGGGAAGGATAGGAGATGCTGCTAGCAACTTCGAGAGCTAACCTGAAAGCTACCTGCTCGTCGAAATTTGAGAGAAATTCAGAGCACTGGTGGCAGGCAGAGAGCACTAGAAATAGTGGGCTATTTCGAGAGAGCACAGAAAATAGTGTGCTCCGAAAGAGCAAGGCATTTCGACGACTCGACGCACCCCTATCATGTCGTGATGCTGCGCCTTGCTGGCGGCGTCGTTTGGGTAGTGCGGTAATATCACACAATCTGCGTCAAGCAAAAGGACCAAAACATTCACATTCCATAAAAAACATCATTTTCGTCATTGTGTGGGTTTTCCTCGTTTCAATAAATATATAGGTAGAAAAATGACTAGAATATCATAAAACCATGAAGAACATCATCTTCTTTTTGCAAATCCTTTAGATCTCGTTTGCAACAATTTCGGCTCTCCTTTGCTCAAATCAAACAGCAGTTTTTCAACGATCGAGGTCCGTTACGCGATGTGAAGCCACTTGTACACGCAACAGGACTCAATTTAGTCGTATACTTTCCAGCTGCAAACATAAGCTAGTTTCACATTATCTGAAGTTATTCTTTCAGAATGATTTCCTTCGGTTTAAACAACTGTGATTTTTTAGATGTGATCACTATAGCGTGTTTGATGGTCTTTGTTACCTTGCAACTTTCGCACAATAGAAAAACGATACATATAGCATTAACTATGTATACGACTTAGCGCCGTGACAAATTCTAAAATCGTTGATAACGACGTATCAATTTGTTATGTTTATTGTATGGCAATTCCAGAGATTTATTGTCAAACATTCGCGCCCTCTTATTGTCTCTTATAAGTAAGCAGGTTTACTGATTCGTATTATGCTTAGTGTTCACGGACATTGTGCCCTCTTTTCTCCAAAAACTGATCGAGCTCTGAAAAATTCTGCAACAAAACTGTTGCGTAACTTTTCCATTTCTGCTAAGCTGCCATCGTCTCCAACAGGAACTTGAGTCTTCATTTCGGTTCAAATGTTTATCACACTTTATACGAAAATACTGCTTTTTTACCATCTTAATACATGCTCAGTGTTTATGATTTTGTTTGCAAGAAAGTTCACGCACTTTCCCATTCCCATAACTTCTATTAGACACATGCTGCAGAAATAGGCGGAAGAAGATGATCAGTTGAGTTTTGATAATATTGTGCAACTGCAAAAAGCTCAAAGATGTCGCAACAAAATCCAAAAACAAGCATTAGCATGAGACCACACGGTTATTCTTTCTACCTGAACGAAGTAAGTGCTTACGAACAATTCCATAAAGAATCATGCTTTTCAAGTGAGATGCCACAGAAATGATTTGCAGTTCTGCACGGTTTCGTAAAAATCACAATTTTCTATGAAGGCCGTCAATCAGCACAAACTTTGCTGATTGACGGCCTGGGTTATGCAACTTATGTGAGTGACTCTTTTGGATGCTTTTGCACATTTTTGTTTGACGGGTCCGTTTGAAATAACAGTTATTTCCTCGGTTGTATAACAGGCAAGGAGCTATTAGAAAGTATGGTCTTCCCTATACAACTATTGCCAGATTGAAGATAAAAAGGAGACGATTTTCTAATCACACAGTACTCTTTCGACCAGTCTAATAGAAGCAGCACTATGCTCATGAGTAACTCACTGGCTGACTTAGAACGTCATAGCAAGACCATGCTCTATTAGTCTGGAGCAAAAGAGCTGTACTTGAATAAAGCATATTAGGTGTGGTAAATGGTAAGACGAAAAAGGTTGTTATCGGGCTCGAAAGTTAGTTGTGAAAGATATGAGATGAAAATATGTTCCGGAAGTAATGTCGCTTTTTATAAACAAGCACTACATCGCAAGGATCAAAAATTTTCGGAGAATACTGAGTCTTTTTGAAACAGCTTCTCATTGATTTGCAACTGGCTATAATTGCATTGCATGAAACACCTTTCAGAAAATTGCCAAAAACTACGACGCATGGTTTTTGTCAGGTTCTAGTCATTTTTCTGTTTATGTTATACTAAGTCTGCGAAGGAATCCAACTAACGGATGGTAAAATCCTCAGGATATGAAACAATTTGCTCCTTTCCATTTTTCGTTATATTTTTTTAACCAAAATCAAAAGTTCGATTTGATCAAAATTCTTCAAAGAAATCCCGTGTATAAAGTAGGACTTTAAGCAGAATTAACAATTTCAAAGGTTTATAAAATGCTCTCCGTGTTAAAATACGAGTGTGCGCCAACATGCGCACCGTGAATTTAGATTGCGTATGCAGGCATGATGTGCCATCTCTCTAAACTCGACTGAGAACTATTGACTATACTCTGCCCTAAATGCCTTGTGCATGAGAATTTCAGATTTTGGTTTGATTTTTTGAGTATTAAAAACTAAAAGTATAACAGAAATCCGCCGACCTAATCCTTTTTGATAACTATGATTTCAATCGAGTAAAGATTCCGGGAAACGACTCTTTCTTAATCTTACATAGAGAATGCGTGGCTATAAGCAGATATCATACTCAGAATTTCCGCTATGAAGTTTGTGCTCTTAACGTTGGTCCTATCGGCAGAAATTGTTGTAGCTTCAGTCATCAAGAAACGCTGCTCCAGGTTTGTTTGGTACTCTTAGGCTCGGGGCATAACTTTAGGTCATTGCGAACCTGGTGCTTGCTATAAGGTATGCTACATATTCATCCTTCAGGGAAATCTCTGTAAATACAGTGCTTATAAACAATTCGAAACTAGCGAGATTTAACTCGAAAGTGGCCGTCTAAGGTGACATGTATAGGTGAACCGGGCCAAGTACAGAGTAAGATAAAGGCGCAAGGTGAGTACCAGGAGTAAGTGTTGCCGAGGTCGGAAGTATACATTGATATTGACACTGTCTACCAATTTTTGGACGAACGCTCAGAGAACAATCGCTGTTTTTTCATAAATTATTACGACGCATTGGCAACATTCCCGTGGACTTTAGAATAAAGAATATGCAAGATTGTTGACGGCCGCATGGTCCTTTGTGACACACAATCTGTATGTAGGGAAAGGACCCCCAACTTGGTAATCACAAGATGACACCTCTGCCATATATAGTGTTACCTTGTGCTCGGCGTGTACCCGAAATAGAAATTCAGTACGGAAGATTGCTCAAACTATACTGCATCACGATTTATTATTGCGATTGATTCAGCGTATGAGTAAATTTCCTTTTGCTGTTTCGTTGTAATGAGCGCTATGAACCTATTTCATGAAAAAAAACCTTGAGTACGCTTGCAATGCACCTTTCTATATAGCACGTCCAGGGCTCTTATTTAAATGATGTGTTGGTTAAGATTTAGGCACAAAATTGATTTGGTCTCAAAAAAGGGCTTTAGCCCTGACTTAAACAAGTATTTCAACAAGACCGGAAGTGCTTTCCTTGTAAGAGTGATTTTTAACTTCATTTCAAGTTTCCAGGGCTAATTTTTACTATAAGCAAGGAACAGCCGCATCATTGTTCTACAGGAACTTGAACTCTTGAAATGAATTATTAGATTGTAGAGAAAGTTTTGCCAATTCTTCTCTTGAATACCAAAAATGAATGCGAATGCGAGGGGCTAGCTTGAAATGTGTTTTTAGTGTGCAATGGTTCCAATTACTTACCTGACACGCTATTTAGCTCGAAATGAGAATCAAAAGGAAGAAATGCCCAAAAAGGAGAAAAATCCGTTGCGCTCAGGTCTGCGAAAACGCACATTTTTCAGATCATGGACGCGCAGAAATTCCAGAAGCTTGATTTGAAAATTCGTTTTATACCCTATGTATTAGTCAGGTGAAGCAGTATCCGACTAATACTTGCCCCGGTATCTGGGTCTTTTTGCAAGCAAGAAATAACTCATTGAATTCAGGGTTTAAAAAATCGAACTCTCCACATGTTTCGAAACGCAGCCAGCGCGCTTTTTGGAAAAGAGCATCTATGACACACCAAATCAGTAGTCTAAGCAGAGGTGCGATAGGGGGAGCCAAGTCTCCCCCTACCTTCACTTTTGAGCTGGTACGGGGTGACCACCTTCACTTTTGGAATAAAAAATTTTTCGCTGGACGACAAAGAAGGAAAATAAGCAAAACAAACGCAAAAAAGATTATTGAAAGCATATATTTATGTATACGGCGGCATATATATTTAAAATAAAGGTTTTTAGTAAATGGTGTATTTGGAAGTAAAGCTTAGCAAAACTGTACGAATTTTATTAAGCAAATTATGTTATAACGTATAGCGAAGGAAGTAGGTCGATCCAGGCAGTAACGGCGGAGAACCAGAATTTTGAATATTTAAATAGTGAAAAATCATGCGAAATTTCCACTGTTATAAATCTGTTGTTTGAAGATGTCAGCAGTTGCGACTTCATAGGTTTTGAAGAGTAGATGTTGCTCTATCAGCTAGTGAAGGAATCGGGTCGATTTAAGAGATAGTCGTTGAAAACCAGAGTTCTAAAACTTTACGCCATTTTTGCGTGTTTTTTGACTGTTGAGAGTTAAACTCTTATAAATCTTGAATGTGGAAGTGTATGATGTTGCGACTTCATAGGTTTTATAGAGTAAGGTTTGCCTTATCAGAATATGTCTTGTCCGTTCCGATCCATTGAAACACCTCCGAGATCCAGAGTCATGAAAAAGCAGGTAAAAAAGAGCTTTTTGAACTTCAACAGCTCATAACTTCTTCAGAACTGCATGAATCATGTTGCGACTTCATAGGTTAGATTCCTCTCATCAAGGGCTTTCAGATGATATATAATATGTGGGGGTTTAGAGCCTCCTGCGAATTATGACCGGGGGGGGAGACTTTTTAGGCCAAAGTCTCCCCCTCGCCCATTTTAATGTATTGGCTGGAGGCTGCCGGGGGAGACTTTGGCCTAAAAAGTCTCCCCCCCCCCCCCGGGCATAATTCGCAGGAGGCGCGAAACCCCCACATATTATATATCATCTGAAAGCTCTTGACGAGAAGAATCTAACCTATGAAGTCGCAACATGATTCGTGCAATCCTGAAGAAGTTATGAGCTGTTGAATTTCAAAAAGCTCTCTTTTACCTGCTTTTTCATGACTCTGGATCTCGGAGGTGTTTCAATGGATCGGAACGTACAAGACATATTCTGATAAGGCAAACCTTACTCTATAAAACCTATGAAGTCGCAACATCATACACTTCCATATTCGAGATTTATAAAAGTTTAACTCTCAACAGTCAAAAAACACGCAAAAATGGCGTAAAGTTTTAGAACTCTGGTTTTCAACGACTATCTCTTAAATCGACCAGATTCCTTCACTAGCTGATAGAGCAACATTTACTCTTTAAAACCTATGAAGTCGCAACTGCTGACATCTTCAAACAACAGATTTATAACAGTGGAAATTTTGCATGATTTTTCACTATTTATTTATTCGAAATTCTGATTCTCGGCCGTTACTGCCTGGATCGATCTACTTTCTTCGCTGTACGTTATAACAAAATTTGCTTAATAAAATCCGTACAGTCCAACAAACTTCTACTTCCAAATACACCATTTACTAAACACGTCTATTTTAAATTTTTATAAATAAAATTTATAGATATTTTTAATATTCATCGTATCTGTGGCCCTAAAGAGGGCCGTTGGGTCGACGTTAGACCTAGAAAGATAGCTCCGTTCGTCCGTTCTATCCTCCCCCCGCACCTCCCCCCCCCTCCCCCCCCCCCCCCGTCGACGTTTTTGGGAGGTGAGTGTCCGACACTACCACCTTCACTTTTGGCCGGCCAGTGGTAGCTGAAACCACCTTCACTTTTGGGGGACCCGGCTCCCCCTATCGCACCTCTGAGTCTAAGGTTGTCAGTACACATGACCGAAATATCGCTAATTGACAGCCACTCCTGGTGAAGATATAAATAAAACAATTCAGCTCAGCGCCTATTGGCAGAACCTTCTTTACAACCTAATACATTTTGTTATTCCGTCGGCAGCTTTGTGCTCTGCAAGTTTGCAACCATACTTCTAAGCCACTCGCTTTCAAAGCAGATACTGAATTGCTAAACTCGGACAGGGGAACGCTGGCTGCCAATTCGAGCCGCCTTTCGCGGCCAAGTGGTCCTTTAGCAGTGTTGTTGCATGTCGTTTCAGGATTAGTGGTAGTCCGCGGAGGCAGCCCAAACTGGCGACTTTCGTTCCCCTACCCCGTAAACTCGTGTAGCATCGCAGTCCCAATATCGCCAGGAAGGCAGAGATCGTGATTCTGCTGCTTGTGATTAAGGAACAAAACGCTTCGTTTTCACACACGGTATTCCAAAAGCATGCTCATTTCTTAGTTGCTAATACTTATCTTCTCACAACTTAGCTTAGCTTCAAGAACCAACTTGTAGAGCTTCTTTGGTTCAGATGCGAAGTTTAGCGCGAATCACTGATAGATCTTGTTTACTATAAAATTATGATGGAAACTTTCAAGCATACGGCCATCGTGTGATAGGCCGTCTGAAGCGAAATTCCAAAAAAAAATTAGGGTTGTGTTGTCAGACATTCCGATTCTAGACAAGTTTTGAGAGCTTCTCAAGCGTTTTGAATGCCTCGGTCACATTTTTGAAGAACAACACTGAAAAACCCTGTGTTTATTTGGATAACTTAAAAAAACTTAGGTTAAAGTGTCATTGTTCAAAGTCAGCGACGATACAGGTTACTGACGAAACTTTCAGCTCGTTGTTTATCTGCTGAGGCAAAATGCAGCCACTGAAGGTTCAAAACCTACTCAAGGATTTTACTTTATAATGAAGGAGGCGATGGGTAATCCCCTTGTAAATCTGAGCTGTATCTGCTCTACTGAATGATACATAATGCTAAGCAAAAGACCCTGTTGAAAAGGGTTATTAACGATCAAGAAGTGTGTACACCCCGTATACAAAGTGTCCCAATGATGTCCCCACTGCTTGAGGTATAAAAGTCATTACCGCCTATGCTGCTGCAGGATTATGTTCAGAACTTCTAGTCTGATAACGTCCCGAACTAGTTGCGCTTTCAGAGAAAAATTCAAAACATTCACAACCTTTGTGGTGTGGTTTTGGAAGCGCAAAGTCTCAGAATTACTCATGCAAGTTTGCAAAGCAGTCTAGTTGGGTGTAAATCATGTTTCCAACAAATAATTTTAGTAGTGTTCTGGAAAGTGTGCGTATGCTGCAATGCTGCAAAGCTCATTTCTATTTTGAACCATAAGCCCCAATTAACCTGATGACGTATATGTTTTGGAGTTTCCAAAGAGATTTGACTTACAATGGTGCGACGATTTTCGCAGTTTATCGCAGTGCAGGACGAAGAAAGCCTAGTGATTCGCTCCATGGTGTAAGTCAAAATAACAAAATCTAATGACAAGAGCTATTTATAAGTTATTAGAGGGAATTTAATATATTGAGAACGGAACTTCCGTTTCGTTCCTACCTCTAGACGGAGTGAAGGAATTATTGGAAGCCCTTTTCAGAACTCCTCAGTAAGGATGGAGTGCTAACTAATAAGTGAAAATAAACTATACTACCTGAATCCTTTTGTGTTTTTGTCCTTCGTGGCGTATTCTGGAGAAGTAGATGGGCAGAAAGAGCGTCGATGGCCGCTATCAGCAATGCCTATTTTGTAAAAGTCTGGAAAGTTGACTCATTTACGCATGTAAAATTTGCTGTAGAGCTCGAA